AGGCACGTCAAGTGCCCGAGGGATACGATTTTGAGATAAGTCCCTGTGCGCCAAAGCGAGAAAATTGAAGGAAACAGAAATTGCTCCGAAAACGTACAGAGTAGAGTTTTTTAGGCTAAGTCCATTAATTTTAACAACAACTTGAAAAATAACAATAACAATTAGACCTCGCACACACATGCAGATAGCAAAAAAGAGAATAACAGAAGTTGCCCTTCAATACTCGACTTGGTATTCTTGACTAAGCACTACTTTCCCGCCAGACAGGAAAATACCTGATGAGCTTAGCTTGCTCATATTTTTGCTACCACAGGAGTCGCAAGATGCTACGATAACAGACAAAAATGAGAGCAGAGTGCCATGTAGGTTGTTGCAAGATATAATACGCGATCGGAAATCACTATAGTTCTTTTCCTTCTTCAAGTGTCGCCTAGGGCGTCAAAATTGGCCGACCATATCAGCAGGATCTTCTTCGCGGCAATATCAAACAAACTGATGCAGCAGTATAGCTGTTTTCCCCTTTGAGACAATCGATCGAAAATTCAACCCCGTCATACAGGGAAACTCGATTCTGGCACTCCTCCTGAAGTTCTCTTAATAGATTGGACTCCGTGTAGTCGTTGCACTTGAGCTTAGACTGTCTGTTCATTTATGAACGGTCAGTTTTTTGGGATAATGGTCTAGGCATACAGTAAATGTACTATCTCATATAATAAATAGTTTCATTTAACATACATAAGTGTATTTTCACCGACATGTCAACCGAAATTCTGAAGTTTTTTTTTCGATTTGAAAATATTAGTTAAGCAGGGTTGCGATATTAATTATCCCAAGATGTTTCAGTCACGCCAGAATGTGGATTGTTAAACGAGCTTCTTTCCGGCCGCCCGCAAAAGCAGATCGAATTTCGTTGCCCCTATAAGTCAAAATCTATGCAATGGAAAGCACGCACGAAAATAGTCTGTTTCACACATTCGGTAACCGACTATATACGGCAAACTAATGCACTCCGGTGTAGATTTGCTGGTAGTAGCAAATACATAACAACGTCAGTCGAAGAAATCCAAAAACCTCAAGAAAGAAACATTAATTTACGGTGTAAAATAATACTTTGAACAACTGTTTTCCGAAGGATTTTATAGGCCCAGATCAATTTTCGGCGCTATTTAGCTTTTTTTAAAGTTATTTTGACGCCAGAGATAAAGATCACATGTATTACCGATTATTATTTTCATCATGTATTACAGTTCGTCGGACTGAAAGCAGTCGAAGTGAGGGCAGCACTAGAGGCCTTATCATCTTTATACCGATAGGTCTAGGTTTGGTATACAGAAAAATTATGGAAGGTAAACTATGCTTTGCTAAATATGAAGAGAATAACTTAGCTGAATTTATTTAGATAGATTCTCGTCCTCGCTCACCTCAAATGTGGGACTAGAGTGTCCCATGCTAGAATCCCAGTGAAACTGGTGTTCTATCGTGGTTGGATTGAGCCACACCAGCTCTTCGACCCATTCAGAATCCGAGAAACAGGGATCAGCAGATTTATAACTCTTGAATACCTCGCTGCCAGCACTAGAGGCCTGTGGGCAAGGCATTATTGGTGGCGCAAGGCGTAGGAAATCAGGTCGCAAGCTCTGCATAGATGCAACCAGCATGTCACTTCCGAGCAGTCCTTCTATGCAATGCTTCCGCTGGGACGCAGACGCCTCAGTCGAAATTCTATCTAAACCAAAGCTATGAAAGCAGGAGGAGATAGCAGGAGGTCAGCGGATCAACGGGGATGTTTGGCGTTAAACCGACGTGACAGCCTCTTTCTTCTCACTGTGCAAAAGT